AATGTTTACATAATCCTCTCAGCATTCACCAGGGCCACTGTGGAAACCACAAAAGCCTTTTGATTAGTGCTGTACCTTTTTATTTCTTGGCATCGTTACAGAGTCTCATCAAAGACCGTTTGGAATGTTCTGAGAGACTGATGGACTACACATCTCACTAGAACTGGGATGAGGAACTCATATAGAAGAAATGAAAGAAATAAAAAAGTAACCCATATCCCAGAATTTCCCCCAAGGAGTAACTTTAAAAAGAACAATGAGATACAAACACTTTAATCCTCCCAGGCCAGAAAAACTGAATAATAGTCTCTCTTTTGTTTAATTATTTATGATGCTGTGAAGTTTTTTGTCTTTTTCGTGAAGTGCGAAAAAGACACGTCACGTAATAAAAGGACGGAAACACGGCAGGTCTCATGGTGGTTTCACCTCGGAACTCAACACTACTGTGCTTTATGGCTTTCTATTCCTATGTGATTTTGATATGGTGTATCATGTAGGGTTCAAAGCCATTAGGTACAAAGTGGCTTATCAGCAGTGGATATAATCAATCTATTATATATCCATTAGAGCTTTTGCTATACGACCCATTTGTTGTAGTTTGAGAAAAAATTGTCTGTTGAATGGACTAAAATGGGCTCTAAAACATGACGAGAGCTGAGACACATACAGTGAGACATTTAATTTACAAGAAATACGCAGCAACATAATAATGCCTAAATAGATGGCAGTGTTATTGTTTAACCGAGTGTAGTTTTGAATGTTAAACATGCAATTTGCAGTGCCAGCCTCAGGCTGGCTGGGTGAGCATTGGGGTGATGGTATATTCACATTTGCCCTCCCTTGCATCATCTCCTGGGAGAAGAGATGCATTCATTTGAGAATGAAAGGAGTTTTTTTTTTTAAGATGAGAAGAAAAACGCAGAAAGACAGGGGTGGGGACTGGAGAGGAGGTGGGTTATGCATGTTGATGAGTGAATGAATGCCACACTAATCTGGGCAACAGGCAAAGCATTGCATTTCCAGAATAGAGAAGCAGAGTGAATCAGAGTTCATCCACTAGGGATGCACCTTAGTGGTGAAACACACAGAATCTGTGCCTGCGCCCGTCACTGACATGAGGGAGACAGAGCGCAGTTGTGATGCACGGCACGTTTACTGTTGGCAGATCCTTCTGGACTCTTGGAGCTTATTAAAGTGGCTTGTAGTACACGATAATCCTTTTGCTAGGAGCCCTATACGGAGTAATGTATCAGGAAGATATAAGCCATGGTGAATAACCAAAATGCAGTCTATAGCCAATAAATGGAAAACCTACAGTCTGTGAAGACTAAGAAAATTATCTGCAGTTTGTTGAGAGGCAGTTTTGGAGCAGGCATTAGCCTTTTATTTGTACAGATTATATCATTCAAATATGTTGCCTTGCCATTAAGAGCAGCTCTTGGGAAAACTGGTAATTGTGCAGCAGGTGTCATTACATTAATCTTTATTGTTACTAAACTTCATTATTATATTGATCTCTAGGATACTTGATTAATATTAGTCAGTCACAACACTGCATGGTCAAATAATTAAACTGGATATTTCACAATGGCAACCAGAGGTCGTACGATTCCGCAACCTCTCTCTTTTCAAGAAGTCAGCCTGTAACAAGAGTTGGGATCATCTTTTCTTCCCTATAAAGTGCTGCAGGGATGACGTATTTTTGTAGGGTAAAACCTGAAAACAAGTTTAGCACTCTGGTTCCATCGTTCCAAAGGATTTTGATTAAAAGCCTGAAATAAAGTCATGAAACAAGCTCAAGATATTTTCACTTTTTATTCTATGACATAAAACACACCAGTAACACCCCACTTGTGTTTTTTTAAAGCTTTTACATGTCTTGAAAAAGGCTATTGCTAAATTGTATATCCAAGTGTTGGTTATCAATCATTGATTATCAACACTTCAATTCATCAGCTTGATTATCAAACAAGCAAAACGTAGGGCAAGATTTGATTTTTGTCCATCAAGAATAGGCTTTATGCCGAGCGTCACGTGACCAAGCCGTAAACCAGATCACATCGCTTCCGATTCAGGTCTTTTGTATGTGCTTCATGAATTTTTTTCGCGGTTTTACTCAAGATAACTTAAAAGGAGCAAGCAAAAATGAGCATAACCAATGTCCCTCGCATGTGCAGATTGATATTTAAAAGTTTATTTTTATTTTTCCTCTTCACACTAACGTTTAGATATTTAAATAGCATAAAACACCAATAACAAAGTGAACTTAGTAGGTTAGCTGATTACCTTAAAAATCCATAGATATCGTAGTTAGTTCTTACGGCCGTTAACACTTTCTCTGACAAGCGGATGCAATGAGACCCATTTTCCGCAGGCGCGGAGTTTGCGGGGGGGGGGGGGGGGGGGGGGGGGGGGCAGGGGGAGCATTGCCCCCCTGGTGGCTGAAACCCGTTTAATTTTTTTTTTGCATTGTTAAAAAATATATATATTATAAATATTTTAAATAACACAAAACAACTAAATGGTGGTAGGTAATACACATCTGATTTTATATACTGCTTTAGTAAAAAAAACTGCAATGGAAACTGTTTTGCGCATTTACAGTCAGCTGACTTAGAGAAGATGCGGGGATAATAATAATAATTATCATCATTATTATAACATTTATTAGGCTACATATGTAGAAGACGCTTATCAAAAAAAAGGAACAAAGCAATTCGTCACATATCATTCATAATACAGGGCTAAGATGATCACAAATAGGCTAAACAAGATTTTGACGCATATCCAAGTGTGTGTGCGGAATGTGGAGCGCGCACTGGATGGCACGGAGGCGCGGGGCGCGGGCGCGAACACTTGCATTTTCCTATCAACAGTGGAAACAACTTAAAATAGGCTAGCCTACTCTATCATTTCTGGTCATACAGAAAATAATAATACATTATTCGCAACTACTTTTATTTGTGTACACTCACAATAACAAGAAAACGTTGTGCTTTTGTAAAATAAAATAAAACAATCAGGCGCGCTTCATGGTCTCCGTGAACTAAAGCGCTATAACTGAAACAAAATAGCCTAAGCTAAAGCTTGAAATGTCCACTTTAAAACGAACAAATTCGAATCGAAAGCTAATACCTTCTGATTATGTAATCCGCATGAGAGGTGCATTTCTCTCTAAAGGTGCATCCTTACAGCGGAGATGGAGATTTTTTATTAATAAACAATTAAAATGCCTTATTTTTTCACACACATTTATTAATTATTATAGCCTATAACTCACCTATAAATCCCCTTTCTTTAGCCTGTGGTTATCTTCTCATGCAGCACTACGGGAAAAATATAATTTCCAGGTTCTAATTTGGCCTTAGAAAACCAGTTAAATCTAATTTCTTTTTCATATTAATTTGTCAATATTTTACATGTTTAATAAAGGGGCAAAAAGTCATAAACAAAAATCTGAAAATTCTTCCATATTAATTATTTTGCGCAGCATTTGGTGTGTAGCAGTTCAAATTAAAATTTTGGTGTTCGACTTTGCGTTTTAAAAATACAACCGTTTATTTTTCGTTTTGCAATTACGGGTTAAATAAGGAAAAACGAATGGACACAAAAGTACACTGACCGTTTGGACATAATACGAGACAGAGTTCTTTATTAAATTCATAAAAGAAACAATAATTACAGGAATACTGGATTCTAAACCTCAAAGAAATGCCACAATCAAGACCTCGGAGCAGAAATGAGGGAGAACCAGCCAGGAACTCTTAGGCTATAGGCTATGTGCCGTTCGCAGTATAAGGGTCTGCCATTAATGCTTGGATAACACCACGTCTCCTTCCATTAATAATAATAATGTCTAGTGCGGTGGCTGTGATATAGCCTAGGCTTTAAACCTACCATCCGTTTACCATGATTTTTGGAATGACTTATCGCGAGAGGAAAAAAATACATTTTAGTCGCATAACATCGGTTAATTAATGGAAACGCCGTCATTTCGCAATAGTTTTTTTATGGACATTTAGAAAAAGTCGCAAAGGTTTTGCGCAAATCTGTAATGGAAACGCGCCTAATGATTACTACATGAATGAATGAATGCTACAATGATTTTTTTTTTGCCCCCCCTGGCTCGAATGTCAAACTCCGCCTATGATTTTCCGGTTTGGTCACATGACGCTCTGCATAAAGCCTATTGATTGGATGGTTTTGGTTTGCTTTTGCTGTGATGTCATGTGAGTGAAATGTGGAAACAGTAAACGCATAATCAGAGAGCTGTTGCTGCAAGAGGGAGGGGAAGTTATTTTGATTAAAGATTAGGCCTAAGTGAGCACATTAACTTAAAATAAATAAATAGGCTAAATAAATCAATTATGTGCACGGATAGGCTAAACCATTTATAAGAAATACTGCAATATTCCATACAAAATAAGAATTTTCAATTTTGATTTCATGAAGACTTTCAGGTAATCTACAAGTAAGAAATAATAAAAAGAATCAAAATCAATTCAGCATTTCAAGTTCCTGTAGGCCTATTTATTAATTTGGTCATTACCACACTATCCTTTACATATGTATGTTTAAAATACATAAACACTAACGATAGAATTATATATTTTTCAGTTGACATGTCTTTGAAGAAACGGCGGGAAAACATCCAACTTGTGACGTTCTTATTATTCAGAGGACGTCATGTCAGCACGCGGATATTCAAATACTATCCAGGTAACGTTGCTTCTTTAAAACACCATTTGCACTTTGTCAGCAGTGAAAAGCACTACAGTTTCTAGCAAGGTGAGTTTGCAAACATAATCGGTTTCATATTTTTCCGCGTTGAACAGGTCACGCGCAAACAATGACCAAACAGACTAACGTTAGATTGCCATTTATTACCTGCAAGCTGCTCACGTTATTGACCATAAATGCGAATTGTTATCCGGTCTCCTGTGACTTATGTGTTTTTATATATATTTTTTATTTTTATTTTGCATGACCAGGCCGCATGTATTTTTCGCATGAGGCGTTTCTGAGCGCGCATATAAGGAGAGCCTAGTGAGCAGCTGTTGGTCACAAGGCTGTTTGGACTCTCAAAACTCACTGAGCTTCCGACTTTTAGACCGTTCTTTTGTAAAAACAAGGCCGAAGTTTGATTCACCGAGCAGCGGAAATCATTTCCTCAGGGCTTGGATTTTCAAATGTGTTAGTTTTACACAGCTGACACATGCCGGTGTTTGTGGAAGAGCCAGCTCACTTCTCCAAAGAGAGGCTGAAGTCGGCGCTCATAGCGCATAATGTGGATCTACCTCCCCCCGAGAGCAAGAAACACGCTTATGTGGAGCTTTATCTGAAACATGTGAGGACAAACAGCACAGATTTCTCTAGTGATGAAGAGGAGGATCATCATCTTAATGCCAGCGTGAGTTGAAACGCATGTAGCAGCTGTAGAGGTCACGTTATTAATCTTCATTCCTGAAGATTTGTCTTTCTGCTCTTGACAGTGTTTTGATTAACAAGATGTCTCCCATCTTGCAGACAGGTTTTGTAGGATTCCCCAACCTGTTTCTATCTAACTTGTCTATCCAGCAGTTTGACGCAAGGTGGCGTGATTGAAATGGATTTGATTTGTGCTGTGAATATTCATACCCATATGTTCTTTGCTTTCAAGCTGTTGAGGAGTTTGTAGGTCATTGCCTCTGTCAGCTCCCAACTGCAGTGAAATACAGTTAAAGCATGCATGCATTTCAAAACATCAAAGACTTTTCTGTCAAAATGAGATTTTTTTTTTCCTGAGTGAGACTGAAATATGATTCCTCAAAGTTGTAGAATAAGGCTCCAGCTGTCACACACACACACAAACACAAACTCTGGCAGTGTGCAAGACCCCTGCAGGTGTGTGTGTGGGTCGGGGGCCCTCAAAGGGGGCTGGGGAATCTGGGTCAGAGCCATCTTAGACTCGGGTGTCGAATTCTCCATTTATGATTAGAAGTGTGCACTTTGTGAAGACCAAAGTGGTTTTGCCCTGGAAAGTAGCATGCCGTTGCCAGTTTATGAGTTGGCAATTTCTTGTTTTATATTTTACAATAACAAACTTTTTAAATTTACAAACCCTTTTGAATCTATCTATTACTGGTGCAATTTTAGTTAATTATAAGAAAATGTTAAGAACTTTTTAAAGAATGAGCAACATGATAAAAACCATCACTCATTGTGTTTGATTGCAACATGCATATTGCGTATGATTGTGTAGACAGACTGAGGTAATGAAAACCAAGCTGTTAGGGACTATATTTAGTATTGTTAACTAAAACTAAAAATAATTTTTGGTAATTGAAATAAAGCTAAAATAAAATATAAACATTAGATGAAATACTTAAAAATTGGAAATGTTGCATTGGCAATTAACTGAAATAAAATAAGTTTGAGTTAATGAACTAAAATTACTAAAACTGAAAAAAAAATTAAAGCTGAATAAAAATACTATTATATGGTATAAAGCACAAAGTTACTTAAAATGAAAATGAAACTGAAAATATAAAAATAAAAGCTAATTGAAAGTTTTAATACTAAATACTATACATGCATACAATAACTTGTTTTTAAGCGTTTCTGTTGTCTCACTTGAATAATGCAAGCGTTTTGGTTTAACTTCTTAGCTAGCAAGCAGACGGCTCATTTAGGGTCGTTAACTGAAAGTAGTCATCTAATAAATTCCATTCAAATAAGCACAAAACTGCTTTCTAGCATTTTTGCTAGGAATAAGTATGGATATTATTGGTGGCTCAAGGCAGGATCGGTGAAGACTAGCAAATGAGACTATTAGTGGTCTGCAATTTTTCTTTTATTGTTGAAGTGGTCTGCCGCCTAAATGTTTGAGAAACAAATTGCTAGAGGGTTTTCTGACTAAATGCTGCATTGAAACGGCTCCGATAAATTCCATCTGTTCTGATCCATTAGCACTGTGCATTTCTTCTGGTTTTACATAACCATGCAAACCTCAAATATTTGTACAACACTGTTCTTTTTTTATTTAAGTTTTTCTATACTTTAATATTTCCGGAATTCGTCACAAATATGTTAACTTTCCATCCGGACTCACTTTATCTGGCTCTTTTCCGTACACTTTATTTTGTGCTTGATCGTGGAAAGCGTTCTTGCTAAAATGTGAAGAAGTTTCTACAGCCTGAGGTTGGTATGGGTTGGGAAACTGCTACAGCAGCTAATATTGGATGTGACCCCTTTTCAGAATGTGTCAGTGCAAGATGCAAAGGCGAGAAAGCCTCAAAACAAGAGTCTATTGAGGATTGCGTGAGCCGAGGTTCACCCTTTGGCAAGCTAGTGTCAGCATATGTTTATTAGATTATGCTAAAATGTGCTGATTCCTCACTCCACCATGATGAATCGCTATAATTTCACTGCCTCCAGAGGATTTGATTAAATAGTTTGTTGTGTGTGTATTTCCCTGTACAGGCTGAGAAAGAAGAGGCAGCAGACATGGTAGACCTGGGATCACTGACTGATGATCAGCTGAAAGCCAAACTGCTCCAGTATGGGGTTAAAGCCGGACCCATTGTAGGTCAGTCTGTTTGAGTCATAGCATAATCTGTTTTGAAAGGAAAAGGCTGCAACTCAACATGTTCTTGTGTGTGTGTTCTAAGCAGCTTCCACTAGAGCTTTATATGAAAAGAAGCTGAGAAGGCTGCTGGATTCTTCAGCACGGACATCACAGCACAGGGTCAACGGCACAGGGGACGCAGGCCTCTACTCGGATAGTGAGGAAGAGACTGAGAGGGAGGAAGATGAGGATAAGGACTCCGGTAGGGAGCAGCATTGACTCTCGAATACTCAATGGGTTGCCTGAATGATTAGACGATTAATCGGTTTAACAAATCCTTGAATAAATAGGCTTCTTTGGGTTCAACTGATCCCAATTAGAGGACTTTAAAACTCTTGAGACCCGTTTGCATGCTAAATGCTGCTTTAAAATAAATACGGCTTCTAAATACGGCAAAAAACGCATTTTTGTTTTAAAACGCTCTGTCCACACATTTTTCAAAAGTTTCACACTGAAACATTGGATAATGCTAAAAATCATCTTACTATGTAATAAAAGCTCACTGAAATTCTACAGAGACCAGACATAATACAGTTCTTGTGCTATTCTTCTGGCATGATTGTTTTATTTAGAGATGCTCCGATCAGCATTTTTGGGACTGATCACCAAAATCATGATCTGCCGACTGCCGATCACAGAATGGCAGGGGAATGGGTATCTTTTATCTATAATCTAGCAGAGTTTGCACCATTTGTAGAAATGAAACTAACTATGAATTAACTGTATTGGGGGGGGGGGGGGAACAGTAGAAATAGGCTACAGTCAAGATCTTGAAGAACCACCAAGTGTTTTATTTAATTGTATTTAGAAAATGAGATAACTTTAAGGCTACTATAGGCCATCTTTCCCAGATAAGGCTGAGTAATATTATTCCAAACAAAGAGGGGTCAGGCAGACCAACACACATTAGATCAGCTTAATGGGATGGGATCAAGTCACACTTAGGCATACTTGGAAATTGTAGCCTCTTAATACACTGACTACATTTAATAATTGGCAGCAAAATGTAAAACTTGTTACACCAAAACTGGCTACTGCCACAAAGGACAAAACTATGGCAAGACAAGGGAAGACTAATGATAAGTGATAGCATAGGTGTAATTTGCGGGTGGGACAGGGGGGACATGTCTCTTTTTGCTAAGGTCGATTTTGTCCCCACCACTTTTGAAACATCTCGCGGCACGAATGTACCAATACAAATAAATAAAACATTTCCAGTTAACTAGCAGAGCATTAATTTTGTTCATTTGTTAAATAAGAGGCGATCTAGCCCTGACATTTATTTTATTTAATTTTTTTTATCAAGTGATCAAAGTGCTCGTTGCTGCTGCGATCAGTGGCGCGGATACTGTGTTCTCTTGTGGCTCGCGCACAGTCTTCACTCGGACGCGCGCTTCAATCCGTTGTGGAGACTCTCTATTCGTTCCGGTCAAATTACAAAACAAAATATACACAAACGTGTCCCTGCCTGACATACAACAACGGATAAACCTAATCGGTTTTGATGAGAAGAAAAAACCCTATACGAGTGCGGGTTAGAACCCAGGACCTCTGACACGCTAGGCAAAAGTTCTGCCACTAGACCGTTAGAATACAGATCTTTACTTTAAATAGTCGAAGCTATGTATTTACTGGTGACTCTTTTTTCCTGTCATTTTTCAGGAATGTAATATGAAGATTGTACAAAGTAACAACTGTGAAAGTGAATAGCACATATTAGGCAGGCACATAGCGTTATAACATAGATTTCTATCCTAACAATATGCATCACATGACTAAACATGCGTCATCATTTTCAAATCCCACTGTTTTCACTGTCCACACTACAACATGAAAACTGTGTTTTCATATTTATCCACTTGGGAGAGCATCTTCAAAAAGCTAAATTTTCTCAGAAATGCATACATTGTCTTAGTGTGGATGGAAGGCCAAAAAAAAAATGTGTACATCTAGTCAACCATTGTGTCCCATGACTAATTTATAGTAAAAAAATATATGTATTGTGTTTCTCTTAAAGACTTCGTCTGTTATTTTTTTTGCTAGTAATACATTTTCATTTTGCATGTATTCTAGAGTCAGAGCAGCTTCGGTCTAAAACGGTGTCCCGTACAGAGACCAGCAAAACAGCAAGCAAAGTAAGTGGCTTTACATGCACCTGAATCCATCCTTTGTTACTTCCCTGAGACTGAAACATGATTCATCCATTATCTCAACTGACTCTCCATATTCTGCTATGAGTGTGTTTTGATCATTAACATGGACAACAGTTGTTGCTTGGGTCTTTCTGTGTAAAGAGGCAAGGCAAACCAGCTGCCCTTCAGTTTTGTTGTGTAAGGCCATAAATTATGTATGTGAGATTGACACTTTTGATGTAGCAAAGAGGTCCTTGATGGTAACTCAAGCTCACTCGATGGTATGATGGATTTTAAAGCTGAAGTATATAATTTCAATGCTACCAGCATCATAAAAGGGTGTCATAAATAATGACTAACACAGATAATCCTGCCCTAAAGAACCAATGTTGCTATGTTGGGGAGCTTAGGACACTTTAGGGTTCTGTGCGTCCTTAAAAAGAGTCTTAAAGTCCCCCTTCAGTCAACAATTTTATCCCTTAAACTATTCTTTGATCACCAAAATGATATATATAAAAAAAAACAAAAAAAAAACTTTGTTCATCCTATTTTCTAAATGCATGTTATAGATCTTATTGTGAACAATTCACACAGGTCATATTGGTGACTATGTATTAATATATTAAGTATATAAAATACTCAACACACATTTTATTCATTATGTATTGACATGTTTTAAGTACTCGCAGTTACCCTGTTTTGCTGATAAGCAGTATTAAATTCCCAGTGTATGGTGTACCGTAGCCTGTTTAATTGAGAAAAAGATTCTGCGTTACATGATTAATTTTGAGATAGTATCGATTTGTTCTGAATGTAAAAATTTTTTTTTTAAAATTGTGCAGTAAAAAAAAAGGTCTTAAAAAGATCTTTTTAAGACCTTTTTTTTTTAAGCCCTGCAGATACTCTCTACTTTTTTGTCATTATTTGCCAAGTAAATATGGGCTTTTATATGCGCTTTATTCAATTTCTGGAGCTTGCAACTAACCCAGTTTCACCCACATACCAAAGAGAGGCAAGCACCAAACAGAACGATGTTTAGCTCTGCAGAGCTTTGTTGTTTCAACCTACAGAAGCTACTAATAGTTGTTTCTGCATATTAAGCTGGACAGAAAGTATTTTAATATAAAACAATTATGCACTGCAGCTTTAATGTCTCAATGTGGTTTTCAGTAGTGTGAACATGAACAATGGTACCACTCTGTGGTTAAAGTTAGTATGGCATTAAATTGTGTTGTATTGCATTTTTCACATCCACAGGTGGGCATGTTCAGTCAGAGCAGGGATTTTTACCCCCGCTGCTTTATGCCCTCAGCTGGATTCGTAAATGTACAGTATGAACCGTTCTTATGGGCACAATTTTAAAGCGTCCTACCTGATCCTTTTCTGCAGGGGATAAAGGGGTCCATGACACTATCATTTGTTTCTTCCACAGATTTTGTGTTGTGAAAGGTTTAAGAGATTTAGACACTGTATTTTTATGTTTTGCTGTCTTGCACTTTTTGGTTTTTGGGATTGTTTGATTCCATTGCACTGAAGGATTGTGGGCTGCCGGTGCTACATCTGATTGACTGTTCCGGATGTCATATTGCTGTGCTTTATTCAGTTTGGTTCTCTTGCAGGGAAAGATTCAGCACAAGTCTTTAGACTCCTCCCAGAATGGGTCTTTGGGTCAAAGTGGGTCCCAGTACACAACCTTCAGCATCACTCAGATGGTGGAAGAGGGGAGTCTGAACTGAGATATCTCAATAATTATGGGGGGATTGGCTGGCAGTGATTTTGTTTTAATTAGTTGTAGTTTTAAGTCTTAGGGGTTTGTTCTTGCTGGGTGATTGTATTTGTTTTGTCTGCAGATTGAGAAGAGATGTAGTCCTCAGTCAAAGCAAACCGAGATTGAGAGGAGATTTGGTCAGAGAACCGAGCAGACGGTGGACAGCAGGGCCCTGCGGGTTTGTGGCTACAGATAATATGTTTGCTTTAACAGCAGTGCTGAAGTCTGACAAAAGCTCTTATTTCTCATCAGGGCTACATGAGGCTGGATAAAGACACCATGACAGGCAGATCTCTTTGTTTAACATCTCCATCAGCCCATCAGAAACAAACTTTCACAGTAACTGCTTTCCCCCTCAGCCTTGCTCTTCTCTCCTCAGGGTCTGCCTCTTCGTTTGTCCTCACTCTTTCGGTGGATGTTTAATTCAGCAGACATATTGCATTGCCAGACATCTAATGGGCTTTCACACTCCCTCTGTCCTTTGGGAAATCCCTCTTAGCTTTTTCTTTTGTTTCTTCCTTTTCTCACTTTATTGCACTGACTTTACAGATCTGAGAGCTTTAACCTCTGTGAAATATACGAAGGAAAAATGTTAGTATATTTTTAGTACTGCTTTCTTTCTCCTGATTTAATATACCGTGAAGTCACTGCACTGGTGTTTGGTAGATAGGTCAGAGAGAGGAAAGCGCTCATGAGTTCTATCAAAGGCCTGGCTTTCTTGTTTCTGACCCATGTGTCTTCGATCTTAATGCGCATGAATGCAGCTCACATGATTCTTAAACCCTGTATGGCTGAGCCACACTGTTACACTCTTCATCACCTACTTCAACCCAAAAGCATTAGGAAAAAATGAATTGTACTTTACAAATGTACCAGTCATTGTGATAAGCTTGGGCATATTTTTTTCCTCTTTATAGTTGGCTTCTGAGAATTTGAGGAAATTGTCATGAAAATATAATTATTATAAAAAGTTGTACACTACTATACCCAGGGTTCCCGCGGATCCTTAAAAAGTCTTAAAAAGTCTTAAATTAGATTTTTAAAATTTAAGACCATAAAAAGTCTTATAAAGTCTTATTTTTACTTATGAAAGGTCTTAAATTTTAGATGACACTTTGACTTAGACATATCTAAAAGCTTTCCAAATTAAAACTATCTAATTAGCGTACGTATTTTTATTTATTTATTATTCTATCTTTGTGGATTTGCTAGTTCACGTGACATTTCGCGTCACTCGCGAGTCGCGGCAGCATAACTGTCTCCTGACCTGCACGCGAGAGGAGAGAAAGAGAAGAAAGGTCGTAAATGTCAGTTCAGTTGTAAGTTCATTCTTTATGTGCGTATGGTTTGCGATGTGTATTGTCTATTATGATATTGTAATCATTGTTTTTAACAATGTACGAGGCACTGCGAGCTGACAAAGCATTTGTCTCTCGTGCTTTCACTGCGTGATGTGTGCAGTGTAACTGTTATGTCCCCAAATTAGTTTTTGTCTTAAATTTATATCATATTATGTTCTTATATTAGAATATCACATCAGAAAGAGTGCCGTTTTCCCGTGCACGATTCCAAGTGTGATATTTATGTTATACAACTGTTAAATTAACAATAAGTTAACATTGAAACTACTTTTTAGACACAATATTGTTAATATTGTTTGTTTTCCCTTTATTTCGCCGACTATAATTTTAAAATGAAACCGTAGCAGAGTCTCAATGCAACCGACAGCGATGATTTCTTGACTGAAATCCGCGTTTTGAACTAATCACTTGCTTCTTTCCCGAATGAATCAGCCGTTTGAACGAATCGGTTGAATGAATGACTCCCTCAACTCACTTATTAAGACAGTGATTTGCCGCTGCGGTTTCATATTTAAAGTACCCTTTAAATAAAACGTTAAAATTAGAAATCATTTCATATTTAAATATTGAATATTGATTTAAAAATATATATCTCATAGCTTTATTTATGCAGTTGTAAATGGAGTGTAAATCTATTAATGCCACTTCTGATGCCGCTTCTGTCACCTCTGCACTGCAAAGATGGATTTTGATTGAATGATTTAATTTGACTGGTAACAGTGGTACTGTATGATTATTATATAATTAAGTATTATTGTATAATTACTGTATAATTTAATTTGAATGATAGTATTTGACATTAAAGGTGATGCATAACTCTAACATCATAAAAATGTCCATATATAGGTGAAAATGCCCCTGAAAAAATCAATTTAAGGTGGCAAATATTGCCCCTTAATCAAAATATTAATTTCTGTCACTGCTGTGAACCGACCACTGCATAGAATATGAAAAATATGAATATCTTCGTGAGTCAGCTGTCAACAACAGACCTAAACCAGCCATGGCACCAGCACAAAAACACAATCAGTAAAATATCATCTAATTATTATCAACAAAACGTTGAAAATATCAAGATATATTTGTCAATACTGCACAGCCCTAATGTACGGTATTAATTTTGATTTCTTAAGGTCTTAAAAAGGTCTTAAAAAGCCTTAAATTTGACTTTCAAAAGTGTGCAGGAACCCTGTATACCGTCAGTAAGATTAGATTTAAGTAACAAATTAACTTTTTATTCAGCAAGGATGCATTAAATTGATCGAATGTGACAGTAAAGACATTTTTACAGAAGATTTCTATTTCAAGTAAATGCTGTTCTTTTGAATGTTATATTCATTAAAGAATCGTTTAATGTTGTATGTTTTCGACATTGATGATAATAATAATAAATGTTTCTTGAGCATCAAATGATCATATTAGAAGGATTTCTGAAGAATCATGTGACACTGAAGACTGGAGTAATGATGCTAAAAAATTCAGCTTTGACATAATTTTTATCATAATTTTTAACTATATTATTATAATTAGATGCCTTTTTTATTCCATTACACTGTGATTGTGCTTTCCACATGACTTGCAAATCTGCCCCGTGTTTTTCTTGGGTCTGGGCTGGTATTTCTCTTCCTCTTCACTCTATCCTCCCATGTTTTTATGATATCCTGCTTCACTTACATTTCTATTGTAGACTACACCTTTACATGTAGTTTATCTTATTCAGACGGTTTTGTTTTTATTTTTTTCTCTGGCCAATAGGAACCTGTGATAGATTTTCTTTCAGAGATGTTCCCTGACACTGCCAAAACCCCCACTGGAATCAAGTGAGTATCATCTGTGATACCTTTCTCATACTTAAGTACTACCATTGTTCGCAAACTATTGATTAGCATGCCTCTGCTTTAATTTTGACAGTGTAAATCAGTTCTAATGTCTTTTTTCCGCCTTCAGTGCTACAAAGAGACGGCCTATAAAGGGAGCTGCAGGACGCCCAGTGCAATTTAAATACCCTGAAATGCCACCACTGAGTCCAGCTACACTGGAGAGGCAGGAGATTCAGCAACGTCTGGTGCCTCTGTGGGTTCAGATCGTGGTTTTTCTCCTGGTGGCCTGCCTGCTGTACCTCATCTACTCGTCCATGGAAGAGCCGCTCTCCAGTCCGTTCACTGCTCTGCATGATGCTGCTCTCATATCCACCTCACAGGACTCATCCGCCACTGACGCTACAGCTTAACACTGATGGTAAAGGATTCATCTTAGGCTCTAGTCAACAAGATGTCCTTCAGATGTTTATCTTTTATAAAATGGTGTCAGAGGAATGTATCTGTGATTGGACTGAATGAAACTCATATTTTCACCATACCTGCCTTCAAAGACCTCAGGATTTTAAACTTGAACTGATGGGATGTGTATTTGGCGAGTCATGTGCATTCATTGTTTCCTCTGAATTATCTTTTACCATAGATGTGTATTTTATACCATTTGAAATTTGTGCGGGCTGTTTGTGCTGTTGTCAGCGTTCATCCTGATTCAGCTACCCCAACTCATGCAAGAACAATTACATTCTTCTTACATCTTGCACTGCTGTAATAAGTCATGTATGATCTCTTTCAGTTTTTAAACATGTACTTTGTTTTATTTGTGACTAAATAAATATGTTCTCTTAAAGTCCCCCTGTGTTGAAAATCAAGTTTTTAATATGCTTTAAGACAAACCATGTGCAAATTCATAAGTTGACACCATTGCTGAGTATTTTCTCCTTAAAACTGCTGTGAACCAAAGACAGTCTCAAAATCGCGGTTTGTCAACGAGGGGATCTCAGAGCTGGTGTGAGTGAGGGGAGACGGTACTCATTTGCATATTCATAGAACCAGTAATCGGTAGCCATAAAAAAGGAAGTTTTATAAGAACTTAAGTTCCTGAATTAATAAATTAGCGTATTAATAGCTGCACTTTGTGAACCCCTAAATATAATCAATATCAGAAAAGGATGATCTGAGTTTATTTTCAGAATACAGCTGCTTTTTTTTTTTTTTACTAAATATGACCTTACAAGTATGTAATGTGTAATAGTGTAAAGGATAATTATATGATTAATGAAGGCAGTTACTTGGAGTACTCCAGCTCAATATTCTGCAAATTACTTCAAATTGTTCATTTGTTTTAAGCTTTCGATATCTCTGTTGTTGATAACTCAAAACGCAACAGGCAGTCTCATTTTGATCTCATTTGCTCTTCACATTAATGATTGGCTCTATATCCAGCAGGGGCCCCTTATGTTCACCAGAGAGGCAATAAAAAATGTGAACCCTGATCAGATGGATGACTGTCATTCATTCCTCTTGAACTTCAGAAAGATGAAGACCAAAATCAATAAGAAGACCGTTTTGAAATTTTCTGGAATACTGCTGGGAATCCTCCTACTTTCTGTTTTAATTTTGTTTTCTGTGGTGATCGGTAGGACATTTACATTCAAAGTGAATACAGAACTTGGACAATGGGAAAATACAACCACCATTTATCCTGATTTAAGTCCAGAACAGAGAAAGAATCTGCTGCAAAATTTCAAATGTAAGAAAAGCTTAAGTCTAACTGCTTAAATATATAAACGCTTCATAAAGCTGATGAATAGTAATAACTATAAATAAATGAAAGAGTTTTTGATGTGTGTTAGTTGGGGAACAAAACTTGCAGACATGCAGTACATTCTGAATCAGAATTTGGTCATTTACAGATTATGGAAAGATAAAATATCCAATTCAATACATTACAGTAATTGGCATAACTTAATTGGGCAAATATTCAGATTACATTAAAACAGCTGACATGCCTGGTTTAATCCTATAAAGCCTGACATGATAGTAATGTAAAAGTTTGCTTATTTGTTGTTCTTTATTATATTTGATACTGATAAATTGAGATTTTATGGCTCAGAAAGCAGAGAATATGGAGCTCATACTTGCGGGAAGCTTTATAGGGTTAAAGTTTTGGCATTGTGTTTTTGTCTGTTAATGATATAAATGAGAATTATTGAGTTTACGGCCTAAAAACCCAATGCTAACCTCTTTTCAGAATAAAGACTAAATCAGAATATTGCCCTTAATCAGAATGCAGAATGTGCATATAAACATGGTTAAATTATTTTTCTTGTTTCTATAGTGGCAATTCAGATTCCCACAGTGTCATTTTCAGAGTCGAACCAGAACACAAGCGCCCTGCAAGAGTTTGACCTGCTACTAAGGAGGGGTGAGAGACTGATAATACCCAAAGCATGGGAACTTATGGATTCTTTTTGCATGTTTTACGTATAAACCCAGCTAACAGGGATCGTTCTCAGAACTTACAAGGTTCTCTTGAACAAATGTTCTTCCAGTAACGTTAATAGAATGTGTGTTCAAAGTTATTTGGTCTTTAATAATGTTCTCAAAACATTAGCCCAGAAACATTATTTATACATCGCTCATGGAACTTTTTTACTGAAACTCTTTAATTGGGCGTTCGTTCAATGTTTAACTACTACTTGTTTCAGAATGTTCAGAGAACATTCGAAAGTAACGTTCCCTTAATGTTTGCAAAATGACAAAATGGAATGTTCCCTTAAAGGGATAATTCCCCCCAAAAAATGAAAATTAGCCCATGATTTACTCACCTTCAAGCCATCCTATATGACATTCTTCTTTCAGACGAATACAGTCGGAGTTATAGAAAAAAATGTCCTGGCTCTTCCAAGCTTTATAATGGCAGTGAATGGCTGTATATTTTTTGAAGTCCATAAAAGTGGATCCATCCATTATAAAAGTTTTCCACACTGCTCTGGGGGTTAATAAAAGCCTTCTGAAGCAAAGCGATGTGTTCGTGTAAGAAAAATCCATATTTAAAATATAAATAGTTGTTTATAGTCGATATACGCATCGATTTACGCCAAAAGAGTAACCCTTGATCTTGACGCACAATGTAATGACGAACGCGGTAGCCCAGCCCTGTTTGTTTGAACTGCGAGAGGCGTCAATTGTGGTTACGTTTACGTTTACGCATTACGTTGTGTGTAATTAAAATTACCCCATGATTTACTCACCCTGAAGCAATCCTAGGTGTATATAACGTTTCAGACGAATACAATTGGAGTTATATTAAAACATGTCCTGGCTCTTCCAAGCCTTATAATGGGAGTCAATGGGTATATTTTTTGGAAGTCCATAAAAAGCGCATCTATCCATGATTAAAGTGCTCCACGCATCTTCGGGGCTTAATAAAGGCCTTCTGAAGTGAAGCAATGCGTGTGTGTAAGAAAAATATCTATATTTAAAACTTTATCAACTAAAATAACTAGCTTCCGGCAGATGGCCTACGCAAGTTGACTTACGCCAAAAGAGTAACACTTGACGCGATGTAGGAGTAGCGTAAGCTTTGACGCCTCTCGTAATTTTCATTTTTGGGTGAACTATCCCTTCAATGTTTGTATGACCAAGAAAAAACTTGTATAAATCATTTGATAAACCGAATGTTTTGAATGTTCAGATATTCAATGGTAGCAAAAATATATTTTTGTTAGCTGGGAAGAATGAAATATTGTTTCATTAAAGATTGTTAATAATTAATTGTGCTGTCTCAGTCTTCCCAAAGGTCTTCTCATCCAGCCTGGTCAAACATGAGCTGGTGGGAAACTACAGCCACTTGTTCACGGTTCCTGGGAGAGAGCCTGATCTGGAGCCGTACATGCTGCTGGCTCACATTGATGTAGTCCCGGCCGATGAGGCGGATGGGTGGGACGTTCCTCCTTTCTCTGCTCAAGAGCTCAATGGCTTCATTTATGGACGAGGAACCATCGACAACAAACAGTCTGTGATGGTACTGTGAAACAACGCTGCTTCGCTCTTAATTCAAACAATTGCACATCTGTTCACTCCAACCTAAAGCTAACTGTAACAATGTTTGTTCTTGAAGGGGATCCTTCAGGCGCTGGAATACCTGCTGGAACGAGGTTACACCCCTCGCAGAAGCTTCTACATTGGTTTGGGTCACGATGAGGAGGTCAGTCTCAAGATCACATGTTAACCATAGTTCATCTGCTGAAATCAAATCTTGTCTTAATTCAGCTGTTTATTTGATTTTCTTAGATTAGCGGCCCGAAAGGTGCTGTGAATATTGTGAAACTGTTGAAAAGTCGAGGAGTGAAGCTTCTGTATGTTTTAGATGAAGGTCTCACGATTATGGATGGTATGGTAGATGGCCTTAACGGACCTGCTGCCCTGTGAGACCATTGTTTTACTGCATTATTATAATTATTTTGAGATTGAGCTACTGTGTAATGTATGCCTTGTGTGATTTCTTAGAATTGGTGTAAGTGAGAAGGGTCAGGCCACGGTAAAGCTGAGTGTCAGCAGCGCTCCAGGACATTCATCCATGCCTCCCAGAGAGAGCAGCATTGGCATCTTGGCTTCAGCTGTCAGAAGGCAGGAAAATATGTTCAAATTGACTGTAATATGAAAACTCTGTTAACATGATCTTAATGTAAATATTTTCTTTGCACCTGCAATGGGGCTGTTCACAAGGAACTTTATATTTCATTTTAAAAAGCAACAGTTGGGAACAAACCCAATGCAAAAGCTGTTATTAACATCATTTACGTAGAAAAAATAAATAGTAAAATGTCACTCTACTGTATTAAAAACTTCTGTATTATAGCAGGTAAAAATCAGTGTTGGGGAAATGCATTACAAGTAACGCCAGTTAAGTAATCAGATTACTCTTTTCAAGTAACTATTAAAGTACTGCATTTCTTTAGAATTGTACTATATATATAAGATTCAGTATTCCTCAAAATGAATAAAAACAGTGAAATGCAAACTCAGAATATTACGCAAATCTGCAATAATTAAATATATTAAATTTATGTAATTAATCTCACTATATTTAACAATGTCTTTGCTTTTGATGGTCCAATTCAACCATTCGAATAAGCAAAAATTACTTTAGGTAAACATCATATTTGTGTTTATTTTTTTAATATATTTTTTATTTATTTGCTGAAGTAAAAGTGCTACGCCCTCTACTGTACGGCTGAGAATTTGCATTTCCTTCAGCCTGAGGCTTATTCATTTCACTTTTGGAGTGAATGTGCCTAAATATTTATTATATAAACTAAATTGCCAAAAAATAGAACTTTTTAGAATAAAAAAGAAACAAGCTAAAGCCCAGCCAAATTAAGAAAAGGTAACGCAAAAAGTAGCGTAAGTAATTCGTTACTTTCCATAAAAGGTAACTAAGTAATGCAATTAGTTACTTTTAGGATGCAACACATTCCTTTTAAAAGCAACTTTCCTCACCACTGTTAATGTAAATT